GTGTATTAAAATAGGTCTATGCATTACAGTGCAGTAGTACTAGTAATACTCTGAACTAGCATTGTTTTAGTTACCATATGAGATCTGTCTCTTATACACATCTAGATGTGTATAAGAGACAGATATATGCCTCTTATACTTCAATGTTCAATGCATAGTAGATTATAGTGTAGGCCTAAGGCATATTAGCTTTTTTTCAGTCACATCTCAGTAAACGCGTGCTTGACCCCAATATGCCACATTCACATGATGGCGGTGACAACAGTAGAGGGCATTGGAAGCTTGAAGGCGGGACTACATCCCGTTCAGGTAATTGTATATTGCAGAGTTTTCTTCATAATTTTTGTCTTATAAACTTCAGACACGCGTGACAGATAAGCTAAGGACTGGCATATAACTTTAAAACTGATTGAATAACTATGTATTTGTTAATTATCGTTTTTTGCACGGTGTGAATAACACTTTTCGTTAGCCTGTAATCTTAATTGAACAGAATACTTCTTAATCCAAATAATCTGAAGTGATTGTACCAGAGTGTAATGTTTCATATTATATCTCAATTATATATTATGATTATTATCATCATCATTATTATTAATACTGTATTATTATTATTATTATTATTATTAATACTGTATTATTATTATTATTATTATTATTATTATTATTATTATTAATACTGTATTATTATTATCATTATTATTATTAATACTGTATTATTATTATTATCATCATTATTATTATTATTATTATTATTATTATTATTATTATTATTATTATTATTATTATTGGGTTGATTTGTTCTTTTATGATGATCCAATTAATATTTTATAAAAATAGTAAAAAAAAAAACGTACTCACGACGTTTCGCTGATATTCTATGAGCATTCCCAATCGGCGTCATCACAACACCAGCTGGCGCCCTCTGGACGTTGGTTACAGAGTCATATTATAAAGAGCTGCGACATTCCGCTCCTCGGTTTGCGAAAGTCACGTGGTACACACCGTCCATTTTTGTGTCCAAATCTTCCCGATGAATACATACAAAGTATATGAGTTAGGTATATTACATAGTATTTTCACATGTTTAATTGCGTCTATGATGTTATTACTTAATTAATAACTATTTAATATCAAAAGCGTGATTAGAATTTATCTTTAGAATTCGAATACTTGAGCGTGTTCACGCGCGCTTGATAATTAAATGCGAATTTGCATGTAATTACATATATGCTATGTTCTCATACGGCAGCTAACGGTTAGCAGGATCCGGATCCTGCTAACCGTTAGCTGCCGTGCGTCCCGATCCGGATACCAAAAATATGATGATCGAATCACTGGCCAATAAGAAACTGGAAATTGTAAATGCGTAGGATGTGTAATTGGTTGATGATAAAAACGACTTGCTAACCGATAGTGCTTGCTAACCGTTAGCGGTATACGGATACTGCTAACGGTTAGCGCTAACGGTTAGCTCCCGATCCGGATACTAGGGCTCTCGTGAGAATCAGGCTATTATTTTTTCTGGAAAATGTTCTTAAAAGATTATTCTACACCACTATATGATTGAAAAAAAATTGGAAAATGTTTTTGATCTCCAAAATCAAGATGGAAAAAGAAAAGCCTATCTAAATAGTTTATTAAAGTAGGCCTATGCAGTACAGTACAGTAGTACTAATTGTACTACTACTCTAAACTAGCATTGTTTTAGTTACCATATGAGATTTTCCTTTGTTCCTGTGTGTACCTGGAACAGTAATAACACGAAAATACTATGCTGCTGCATTGTAATACAAGAACGTGAAAATTGTCTTAAAAAGCGCCCAGTTTGAATAAGCGCCCCGATTTCAATCATACTGTACAGAACTGTACATACTAACTTAATTTTCTGAATCAACTTCGCATCTATCTTAGCATTGTCGGTCGGTCAGTCCATCTATCCATCTGTCGGTCTCAGTCTCCATAAGTTTGACATGGTTTTCAGTTTTGATGCATCTTTAGAATCCCGTTCTTGTTTTATTGCTACCCTTTTTTTAGAACTAGAGTATTATCTAAAAATGAAAATACCGTATGACCATTTTCAGTCAACAAAAATAAACTGACCTCCTCACTCTCGTCTAAGCAAGAAACCCTGCAATGATCCTGCTAATTTGATTGGCAGATGGCCAACACGCTTACCACAACCACCACCGCCACCACTAATTTCACCTGCTGTTGTGTAAATATCCCCAATATTCTTGTCATGAGCCGCGCGGCTCTCTCGACGACTTTTCTTCACCAAAACCATTCGTATCTTCGATTAAAATAAAAGTGCCCTTGAATTTTCCAATTTCCCATAAGCACCCCTTCAATTTTCACCTATTCCATAAGCGCCCCCCCTCCCCCTTAATCAGTACTGCCCTCAACCCTGTTTTCATAAGCGCCCCGTTTGAAAAAGCGCCCGCCGTCAAAGCACGCACGACGGGCGCTTATTCGCGTGCGAGTACTCTATCCGAAAGAGTATTACCCATTACCTCAGTCGTTTTAGGCTTCAACATGTAGGCCTATAAAAAAAAAGAAATCAATTTAATATCTAATATTGGATCCAGATGATATTTTTTTTTTCAATTATTATTATTATATTATTTTAGGCCTATTATTATTATTATTATTATTATTATTATTATTATTATTATTATTATTATTATTATTATTATTATTATTATTATTATTATTGTTGTTGTTGTTGTTATTGTTTATTATTATTATTATTTATATTATACACTGGGGTTTCTATGTCATGACCACATTCCGCTACTTTTCAATGCTGGATATTGGATAACAACGAAAAAATCAGCCAAAAACCACCGAAAATGAGTACCCTTTTCGCCTTGTTTCGCGAGTTGCTTACGTCCATATAAATAAATCCCCTCTCTTAATCTGTACCGCAGTGCTCAGATTTAAAAAATGTCGTGTCAGCCCGTAAAAGAAACAGTCTGTTTATTACGTCACCGCGTATGCCTCGTGTCAATCAACAGCATGCGTTCCTGTATCTGCTTCTATAATTACGACTAGGCCTAGGGTAGGCCTTGGCCTTTATGCCTCAAACACATCAGCATTAAATGGCATGTTTTAGAAATCGATCAGGTAAACATAAACGTGGGCCTGGGCACAATTAGGCATGATAATAAAAGCTAGGCCAAGGCCTAACTGATAATTTCGGCTAGGCCCGGGCCTAGCATAGGAAGACTAGCCTACCAATCAATATCATTCATAGTACCATAGACCAATTTTAATACACTACTTAAATAGGCTTTTCTTTTTCCATCTTATTTCAGAGGTCAAAAACATTTTTCAATTTTTTTCAATCATATAGTGGTGTAGACTAGTTTTTAAAGAACATTTTGCTGGAAAAATGTTTTTGGATACGACGCCCTGTTATGGAGTTATGATTTTTTAAATAACATGATGTCAGAAAGTCAGCC